AGGAACAACAGATGATGGGTGAATTAATCTGGTAATAGGGAAACTTGAGTGCTAAAGAATTGACGCTTTTGAATTGCAGTGTTGGAGAAGACTTCTGAGAGTCCCTTGGACTGCAAAGGAATCAAATCAGTCAATCCTAAAGGAAATCAACCCTGACTATTCTTTAGAAGGACAGATACTGAAGTGGAAGCTCAAATACTTTGGCTGCCTAATGTGAAGGGAAGACTCACTAGAAGAGACCCTGCTGCTGGGAAGGATTGAATGCAAAAGGAGAAGGGGGCTGCAGAGGTTGAGGTGGCTCAATGGTGTCACTGGGGAGGTGGGTGTGGGGTTGGGTAGACTCTGGATAGGAGAACCTGGAGGAATGTTGTTCTTGGGGTCACAAAGAATCAGGCATGACTTTGCGACTGAACAACAATAGGGAAACTGTCTCCCTCTGCAGAACCTGGCTCTGTACCTGCTCAACAGCAATTGTCTAGCCATTCAGTAATGCTGGCAAAGAAACTAGTCCATCACTAAAATTGACAGGCGCTAGTGTGTGTAATTTTGGCCTAGTTAGTGGGGGTGGTCTGCTGGGGAGAAACGCAAGAACTCATCATGGGCAGGTATTTCCAGGCCTTTGTAAAGCTTCAACAAAGCAGGAATGTAGGAGGGATTTAGGGAAGTAGCTTCCAGCAAGGCTACTCTCAAGTGACATTAAGCCTAGAAAATCAAGGACAATAATACATTTAAGAAAACAACAGAGAAACTGCAGAATTTGCATAGAAATCCAATGCATTTTCCTGGATTTTGTCCAATTTACTAGTCACAGCTCAGGCAAAACTATGCAAAAGCCCCCAATGACTGATTTTAGGCCTCTTCCAGAACTGGTAGTATCTGCTGCAGAACTACATGATGTATCTTTGCAGCATTCTCTGGGCCTGTTATCTAGGAGGTCTGTCAGTGGGTGTCAGTTGCTAAGGGTCCTTCAATATGGTGAGTGGTGTGCATTATCTAGCCTCCCTCTCAAAGGTCTTGTTCCCCTTGCCTAACCTGTTTTGTAGCTGCTGAAGACCACGGAACAGAGGGTAAGGTGCAGAGAAATGATGGCTCACATCTTTTGGAATGGGGCACAGTTGAGACTTAGAAGCAAAACTGTACAGTCTCTGAACTTGTCTAGCTAAGCCTGCAGAAACTGGATTGAGCTTAAATTTATGAAACGTCTGCTTGTGTAATTTCTGCATGCCTCTAGTTTGCCTGTGCTCCTGAATACAGTCCCTGTGAGATATAAAAAAATATATCCAATAGAATCCAAGCAGTGACGATATGGGGAGGCAATGTAACGAGCAGAGAAGTTTAATTCATTCTTGCAAGAGCAGGCACCCACCTCACAGGTAGCGCGCCATTCACACACAAAACATTCACTTTTATCACCTTTTCCCGGCCGCAGACCCTACCCCTTTTCTCCCATTGGCTGGGCTACTCAGAGGGCACATTCTTCTCCGTCCGCCTTCATCATACTACCCCTTGGTATGACCGCCCCCCATGCACATACAACCCATGTTCATGCTAATGAGTCTATTACCTATGAGAGGTGGGTCATTTACTATTCATAAACCTATTAAGCTTGCACAGTTTCTTCTAAAACTTCAGCAGGACAGCTTGGCCTTGAGAATTCTTCTTGACGCCAAAATGTTTCTTAAATCTTGTGGGGAGGATGAGATAATGAGAACAGGCCTTTCTCCAGGCTTATTATTGCCAGTTGTAAAGTAATCCATTGTCTGCTCTCCTCCACTGAAGGTTACAGTTTTACCACTGTCCCCCAATTTTACCCCTTCTGGTATTTTTTGGGACTTTTGATGTAAGAAACATTATTACTCTTAGAACAACCATTTACATGTTTTGATTCTCAGGCTTTTTGGCCTTAAGAGACTTCAGTGGTCTTGTTCTATTCCTGTTTTTCACCCTTAACACTTAGTAACAGTAACAGTAACAGTAACATTTCATTTCTCACAGTCCCTGTGCTCCTAAATAACAGTAGAATTATATCATCAATTGTATTGGGCAATATAGCACTCTTCAACATTCCCTTTCTTGCTTTTTTACTCACATTAGAGAGAGGCCACTTTGCATGGAATTGCTGGATTCCAAATGAAGGAATCACCACGTACTATTCATGAAGGCTACATCTTAACTCCAGTACTGGAGGCAGGATGCTTCTCAATAAACCAGTTGTTAGGGTCAATAAATGGGAGGGTGCTGTTGAGTTCATGCCTGCTTGTAGGTTTCCCACAGGCATCTGGTTGACCATTGGTAATTAGAATGAAGGACTAAATAGGCCTTTAATTTAATCTAGTACTGCTTTCCTTATGTTCCTTTTTAAAATTTATTTATTCAATTTATATTCTGCATTAAATTAGTCTGAGAACCCTCTCAGCAGATTATAAAAGTACAGTAAAAGCAACATCTTTTTTTATAATAAGTTTTATTCAAAATAACCCTAATACAAAGAAAAACTAAAAACAACATCATTCATCAGAAACATCAGACCTGCTGGGTCAGCCCCCACATTTTTTCTATTTATGATAACTTAAAAACATATTTGAATCTATATGAAGTCCCGTTTCTCTAGCCAATAATAAAAAGAGTCCCAAGTTTGATAGAAATCAATATCTTCTTTCTCCTTTAATGACAAAGTCAATCTGTCCATTTCTGCCCAGTCCAAGATCTTTTTTAGGATCAGTTCATCGGTGGGTGGTTCTTCACTTTTCCAGTGTTGGGCAAATGCAATCCTCGCCACAGTAATTACATGTAAGATCAAGTACATTTCTTGTTTACTAATATCAACAGGTATAATGCTTAATAAGAAAACTTCAGGTTTAAAAGCTAAGGATTTTTGTAACATTTCCTCAAGCCATTTATGTATTTTAATCCAATACTTTTTCGCATTATCACAAGTCCACCACATATGATAGAAGGTATCCAATTTATGTTTATATTTCCAACATCCATTTGACATATTTGAAAACATCTTGGCTAGTCTATTTGGTGACAAATACCATCTCTAAAACATTTTATACAAGTTTTCTTTATATGAAGTTGCTAATGTTACCTTAATATTTCTTTCCCACAGCTTTTGCCATTTTTCTAATTCAATATTATATCCAAAGTTTTGTGCCCATATTATCATAGTTTCCTTAACCTGTTTATCTTCCATTCTCCTATCTAGTAAGAAATTATATAGTCTTTTAATCCTTTTCTTATCTGATTTAAGCATCACCTGATCAAATGCTGTTAAATCTTTATAAAAGCCCCACATTCTATAGTCTTTAGGATATTTCGATTGTATCTGCACCTTATGCTACCAAGAAATATTAGATCCTTGTTCTTGTATTTCTTGATTCAATTTCAGTCCTCCATCATTATCCAAAATGTCATCATATCTTACAATCATTTCAAAGTTCAATGCATTTGGATATACAAGAGCTTCCATAGGTGAAAACCATCTTGGTAATTTATTATACAATTTTGTCTTTAACTTTTCCCACACCGACATTAATGATTTCCTAATTTAATGACTGAAAAAAGAGCCATGTACCTTAGCCTTTTCATACCACATATAAGCATGCCAACCCATTTGCAAGTCATGCCCGTCAAGATACAAGATGCTCTTATTTCTTAAGGTTATCCATTCTTTTAGCCACTTTAAAACAGAAGCTTGATAAGCATCCAATCAGCATCCAATCAGGGAGACCAAAGCCCCCATTCTCTTTAGCCTCCTGAAGTATTTTTAGTTTAATCCTTGGTTTCTTCTTTCTCCATATAAATCTTGAAATTTGAAAATTTAAATCATCAAAAAATTTTCTATCAATTTTTATGGGAATCATTTGGAATAGAAACAAAAGCTTTGATAATATATTCATTTTAGCTAGTGCTATTCTTCCCAGCAAGGATAATTGCAAATTAACCAATTTTTCCAAATCACTCTTAATTTCCTTAAATAGTTTATCATAATTGTCTTCTTTCAGAGTGGTACACTTAGCTGTAAGATAAATTTCTAAATATTTACCCTTTTTAACAATCTGAAAGTCCACTTGTTCCACCAGAGTTTTTCTCTGCTCCTGTGTGAGATTTTTTACTAACATTTTCGTCTTGTCTCTATTTTCATCCCAGTAACCTCTCCATACTCTTCAATCCTTCGTAGGAGTTTAGGCATTGTTACTAAGGGTTCCTCAGTTATGAAAACTAGGTCATCTGTGAATGCTTGCCATTTATAGCTTTCATCTCTGATTCTAGTACCTTTAATGTCCATATTGTCCCTGATATTTCTGTTTAACACTTCTAAGATCAATATAAACAACAGTGGTGATAGCGGGCATCCTTGTCTTGTACCCTTTTGTATATCTATAATATTTGTAAATTCTCAGTACAGTAAAAGCAACATCTGATAAAAACATTTAACAATCAACAAAATGCCACTGAGGGATCAGATATAAATAGATTAAAACAGTACTATTAACATTACATAATTAAAATCACATTTTTAAAATCAGTTATTAACATATCTGGAGAATAGGATCATTTTCACCTGGTGCAGAAAAAAATTTAGCGATGGCACCAGGCAAATAGCTTTCAAAGGCTGTTCCATAAATGGGGTGCAACCACTGAGAAGGCCCTCTTCTATTTGCCATCCTCTTTACCTCCTTGGAGGATGGCTCACTCAGGAGGGGCTCATTGCCCAATCTTAGATATATATTAAAATGTTTGCTTTTTAATATTAAAGGTAAGTTTGCTTTGGATTATCTATGTATCTCTCTACTTAGAATAAAAAGATTAAAAGCTAACACACATTTTCATCTTTCATTTAAAAGCCCCACATGTTAATTTCTATTAAAGGACCTGGAAGTGGCTGGGAGAGTTAGCTGTTTTGGCCTCAGTATTTTTCTGGGTGTGGGGAGATAGAATACTGAAACAAATATATTCTCTTCTAATAGAAAACATTCTGTCTCTATATATTCCAGATCTGTAGCTGAAGCCACTGAAGTAGATCTCAATATGCGGGTTGGCCTGCACACAGGAAGAGTGCTTTGTGGTGTTCTGGGTCTTCGCAAATGGCAGTATGATGTTTGGTCAAATGATGTGACTCTTGCTAATGTAATGGAGGCTGGAGGATTGCCTGGGTAAGTCTCAAGACAACAGGCTATTTGTTTGTTTGTTTCCACCTTCCTTTTTTGCATTAGTGTACATTCTAGTTGTAATGGCTTTATTACTTTAAAATTATAGCCACTCAATCAGTATTCTGTTACATCTTTGTAGCTTAGCAAGGGAAATATCCATGCTGCTTCCTCTTACTGGGAGATCCTTGTGAGGCCCATGTGTAGACTCTTTAGCTGTGACAAGTCATGTTGCCTGGAGTGCACCACAAGGAGGCTAGTCTACTTTGCTTGCTTCCACCTGAATAACAGACAAGCCAACTATACACCAAAAGTGTAATTTAGGAACCAGCTGTTGAAGCTCAGTCATAATCCTAAGTATTTAGGAGTGACCTGATCAGTCCTTAAACAATAGGGAACACCTAAGGAAAACTTTGGATAAAATAAAAACCAGAAATAATATTTTACATAAACTCTCTGGCACTAACTGGGGAGCAAGTGCCACAGCCCTTAAGACAGTGATGGCAAACCTATGGCATGCATGCCCAAAGGGGCATGCAGAGCCCTCTCTGTCAGCACACGATCACCCCAGTAGCCATGCGCATATATGGAAAGATTAAGGGCGCCAGACAACAAGCTTTCGAGCTTTCGCATGGCCAGTGAGGTGCCAGTGATTTGCATGGACTGTGATTTTAGCAGGAAGCAGATAGTGCAGTAGTTTAAACTGCTGTGCTGCTGGGCTGGTTGATTGAAAGGTCGCTGGTTTGAGTCTGCACAACCTGTTGTGATTTTAGCAAAAGGAAGGAAAGGTAGAAAATACACTCAGATACCTTTTTCAGGGCCAGCCAATAGCTGGTGGTTAGTGGAACGTTGCCCCCTTGTGCTGGTGGTCAGCAAATTCAAGTTTTATTGCAGTGTTGGCACTTTGTGATAAGTGGGTTCTGAGTTCGGGCACTCAGTCTCTAAAAGGTTCACCATCACTGCCTTAGGGTATCAGCCCTTCCTTTGGTGTATTTGGTGGCTGAGTACTGCAGCCCTGTTTGGTTAAACAGTGCACATACGACTTAACCACACTGTGAGATTAGAATCATAGAATAGTAGAGTTGGAAGGGGCCATGAAGGCCATCGAGTCCAACCCCCTGCTGTTAATATCAGGAACCACTAAAGTGACACCTTTCAAATGGCTACCAGTATGAACATACCACCCTGACATCTTAGAAGACAATTAGCTTTAAAAAGGGAGTGACAGAAATGTGAGACAAATTGCTTATTACCTTTATATGAGGACTGCTTGCAATCAAATATTCAGACTTGGATCTTGGAATCCACAGTGGAAACTTGGAGAACAATTAGTTAGAAAAGGCTTTGATACTGAGATAGCTTGATGCCAGGAGTAGGCAATTTCAAGTTCAGATCTGTTTAATTTAGAGTTTGATCTAGCACAATGCCCTTATGGCTTTGATCTCCCAAGGAAAAACTGGACAGCACTTAACCAGATTTGAACCAAACATGGTGGATGCCAATACATAAATGTAATGGAAACATAAATGGGGGCTGGTTGATAACCCTAGCTGAGACTGCAGGAGTGTTCCACAACTCTGTATCACATCACGATGGAATGCTCCCCTAACAAGTTTCCTGGTACCTTGCAAGAGTTACATCATCTTGAGGGTACTGCTGGCCAGTGGTTAAATGATCTTGATATCTGGCCATGGGTCTAACCACTCTAGTAACTGCTCATACATAATCTAATTTTATCTATAATCTTACCCATTGTTTGTATTGGATGTTTTTAAGTTAATTTATTGTCTTACTGTTTTGCATTTTACACACATTATATATTAGTTTGTGAATTTTTATGCAACAGTGCTGTATTCTGCTTGGCCATACAAAATAAATGAATAAAGCAAGGGACATACACTAAAAGTTTTATCGGTTTTACCCCAGGGCCAAACTGGATGAGTCAATGGGAGATCTTTGGTTGGATCTTCTGAAAGATTTTTCACAGCTGAAAGATGTGAGTTTAGAGGACAATTTGGATGAGTAATGGACCCCCATACTTCTTTATATTCTGGAAATGTCACCAGATTTTTTTAAAAGCATGCCAGTGGCAAGGTAATTGTTGAGTGCTATGCACTGTGCCGCTAATCGCTTTTTCTCTCTTTTTTTTATCCCTCACCCCATCTCTAGGAAAGTGCATATAACAAAGACCACCTTAGAGTGCCTGAATGGTGACTATGAGGTAGAACCAGGGCATGGCCATGAAAGGAACAGTTTCTTAAAGAAGCATAATATTGAAACCTTTTTCATTGTGCCATCTCACCGGAGAAAGGTATGTTTCTCATTTTAGCTGGTAACACTTTAGGCTTGTGCAATGTAATAGTTAAGTATGGTGCAATCATAAGCAGGTCACATGCATTTTTCATTTTTTAGCTACTTCTCAAACAATATGACCTGAATTGAATGGGAAATGCCGCTTGTGCTGAAATATCGAATTCAGGAATAGACAGTTGATTTGCTTTTTATTGCAAACTATGAATAAGCACATTTGAACCTAAAAGCTTTCAGTTCAGAAAAAATGTTGCAGATGTGATGCCAGTAGCTCACATTCATTCATAGTTTCCTATTTTTATTGCATGAACATTTTAGAGCAGAACATTCTCCTGTGCAAGCCTTAATAAAATTTACAACAACAGCTCAAGAGCTTGGCTGTGTTTTTGTTCTGCACCCATTTGTTATGCCCCTAAATCTCAACTTTGTATCTACACAGGTTTTTAAATATTGTTATACTCCTGTATTTCTAAATTTCAGCATGTGTACATAATGTTCCAGTGATAACAATGCCTGTTTCTAAGAATACAGACTATAAACAAAGGGAGGAATAAAAGCATTTAAAATGTGTTGCCTGTGGCAATAGAATGCAATGGGCTCATTAATGATTGAACTGCCATAGTCTGGGAGAAGTTACCATGTGAGCAGCAGAAAGCAGGCTTAGTTCTCTAGGTCAGGCTGGAGGTGAATGTCTGCCTTGTAATGCACAACACATCCATTCATTCAGCTTTAAGATCAAGTGTTAGAATATCACTGGAAATGTTCTTTAGTATGGGTGAATGAGTTTGAGCTTACCAGGTACCACCTGGGGTGCCAATTGCTGGTGCACAGAAAAGGTGTTGGAATCTTGCAAATCTGGATTTGTGCTGATAGTAATGTCAGGGGAGGAGCTTTAAAGACTGATGGCTAGGAGTAGCTCCTAGAGGAAGTCTGTTGAAATTCTGGAAGGAGATCCCTGAGGAGGTGCACTGATGGACCTTCCTTTTATGCTTCTGTAAGTGAATTCTGGTGAATATTTTAGACGTGTAGTTGGAGTACCATCATGTTATGTGCTTACCATCTGGATGATGCTTTAGTTAAAATACTTTATATATTTTTCTTGTTTTTAAACATTTAACTGTTTGGTAATCCTTTGATGGGTTATTGTTATGATTTTACAGTTTCTTCCCAGAGATAGAGGAAAGTGCAACACACATGTACTCTCCAAATATAAATAATAAAAAAACCCTTCCTCCACATCTGGTGCTCTTACGAATGGACTGCTCCCAGCACTGGTAGTGAAAGACATGATGCGTCTACTCATCTTTTCCCCTTAAATAAATTTTCTCTGGTAATTAAAAAAGAGACAGCAGCAGCAGTGGAAAGCACAGGTGTGATTGGAAGAATTAACTTTAAAGTGTTGTAACCTAGCCTTTTAGGAATAAGTATTTGTTTCTTCATAGTGCAGGAAAGGAAAATATTCACTGGCCTCTGGAGAAGCCTCCAACTTCAATCTTCTGGAGGACTCCCTGGGGGAATTTCCATGTTCAGTGAACAGAAAAATTAGTGTGGGTTTCCTTGAGTGCCACTCCTCTTCAGAGGACAGCATCACCTGGAGATAACAGTGGAAAGCCCCTTTCCAGTGCTACTTAGCCTTCCAACTGGGAAAGGGAATAGCACAGAAGAGACTCTCCTGTTATCTCCAATCACTGACTGAAGGAAACAGCTTCACATGCTGCTCATCATAACTATCAGGATGATGATTGCTCTGCCTCTGATATGGGAAGGGCTTGGTTGTTTGCTAATGAGGTCTTGGTTATTGGGTTCCACTATGGATTGGGTTTTCAGCAAGGTTTTGGGGAAGTCAGGTTTCCAGGAGAAGCAGGACGGGGAACAGGACACCACTATAGAGCTTGAGGCAGTGTCAGGACTGAAAGCCAGACAAGCTTCTCTAAAGGTTGCTTTAACAAGCTGCAGAATGTAATTGGGCTTTGCATAGGTGTATGACTTCCTTTAGGCTGATTAGCCCTACCTCCTCAATGATTAAGGATTTTTCTGTTGAAGGGTCCCAGTCTTATTAGCATCTGGCAGCAATGATGCAGAGGTGGCTGCAGCACACTGTTGTCTTCATGACTGAAGTCCTCAAAGTCTGAGAACAGCTGGGCAAGCCTTTCTAGATGTAGAAACAAATCCCTGGGAACACATGGTAGATCTAGGTCCTGAGGAGATGGAAACCTTGAGATGCTTTTCTGTAAGCAATTCCTCTCTGAATTGTGAATTTAGAAGCCTATTGTTCTGAGCGCAAAGGATCAGAATCCTCTGAGGAAGAGCTTTTGGCACCCTGATCCATGACAGAGCAGAACAAAGTTAGCAAATCAGCTTACTGCAAGTGTCAGCTGAGTCTGTTTCATCATGCACTGAGTAAATCAAAATGGTTATGGATGGGACCAGATGATGTCAAGGAGGGAGTTGGGAGTCAAAGCAGAGCCCTGCTCCCTGTCAGCATTCACCCCTCAGAAAGACTAGCACAAACTTGATCCAAGGTCCTAATAGATTCACAGCCATCTTAGGGAATGGTGCCAAGACCCTTACTTTATTCATCATTTATTTATTTATTTGTTTATTTATTTATTTATTTATTTATTTATTTATAGTATTTGTATGCCGTCCCGTCGCATATATCCTTCCCTAAATTATCCCATAAGCTTCATTTGCTAAGTAGGGCTTTAAAACCAGGTTTCTTGAGCTTATATTCGTAAGTAGTCTTCAGCTGAATAGGATGGAGACAGATTATTTTTCGAGAATTACTGTAGTATGATAATGAATATTCTTTATTTTTTTAAATAATTTTTTGTTATTTTCTCTACAATCTAACTTTTAAAACAACAGTTATTTAAGACATTGGATATACTGGGCTGACATCTTCCTCATTTTAACAGTCAGTAGCCATATTCAAATTGTCCCGTTTCTCTAACTGATAATAAAAAGAGTTCCAAGTTTGGTAGAGATATGCGTCCTCCTGCTCCTTCAGAGACAAGGTCAATCTGTCCCTTTCCATGCAGTCCAAAATCCTTTTTAAGATCAACTCTTCAGTGCGTGGCTCTTCACTCCTCCCGTAATGAGCAAACAGAACCCTTGCCACAGTAATTACATGTAAGATCAAATATATAGCCTATTTATCAAAATCCTTAAGAATAACATCTAATAGAAAAAAGAGAAAAGTTTTCAGGTTTAAATTTGTGTATACCTTTCCAACATCTATTTGACATATTTGAGAACATTTTTGCTAATCTTTTTCGCGATAAGAACTATCTATAAGATATTTACGTCTATCTATCTAACTATAAAACATTTATATAGGTTTTCTTTATATGAAGTTGCTCAGATTACCTTAATATTTCCTTCCCACAGCTTTTGCCGTTTCTGTAACTCAATGTTATATCCAACATTTTCTGCCTATATTATTATAGTTTCCTTAACTCATTCATCTTTCATTTTTATGCCCAAAAGGAAGTTATACAATCCTTTAATCATTCTTTCATCCAATTTTGAACTCATTTAATCAAATGTTGCTAATTCCTTTATAAGATCATATATTCTATAATCTTCACATATCTCGATCATATTTGAACTTTATGCCACCAAGAAATGTCAATACCCTTACCACATATAAGCATGCCATCCCGTTTGTAAATCATGCCCTTCAAGATATAAAATTCCCTTAGAATTATCCATTCTCCCTTGGAAATTTATGACTTCTAACATAGCTTAAGTTGACTCTATAAACCAGGTCAGGCCTTTTAGCAGTCTCTTTCTTTTCCATAGCAGGAGTATCTGCTAGCATAATGTTTATTAAACCACTTAGGTTTTCATTTTTTGCTTCTGGTGTATTCTGAAATCTCTCAAATATGGCAACTGAATCCCATAATGACTTATTTGTTTGTGTTAGTTGATGCCTCTCTTGATCCATCTTTTCAATTTTCTCATCAAAATCTTCAACCTTCTTTTTCACTTCTTGTATCTTTTGTTCATTTTGTTTTATTTTAATACAGAAACCTGCAAGTTGATTCATTATCTTCAAACCATGACTATCCAATTTATCCAGTTTATTCAGCCTTTCCTTTTGTTCCAAAGCAAATTCTTGTATAGCATTTTGCATAGACTCTAGAGATGCTTGCATAGATGTTAGAGATGCTTGTATTGCCAAAAGTGTCGTTTGTATGTCTTTTTGAGATTTTTCCCAAATCCACAGATTTTGATTGATGCGTTAGGCTTTGGGAAGCAGATGTAGGTGCCAAAGATGATGGGTGAATTTTATCCATGATGAAAGTGAAAGGTTTAATTAAAACAATTTTTAAATAACCTGTTGTGGTACTAAATGGCCACTAAATAGCAGCAAAAAATCACAAAGAGAGGGAAAAAACCAAAAAAAAAATTTTTTTTGGCAAACAATGTATCTGTTAAAGGATAAAATGACCACAGGGTGGCAGCAAAAGGTTATTTGTTAGTATAACAAAGACAAAAAGTTCTTCCAAACTGCCATGTTGTCTCCAAAAGAGACATACAGAAAACGAAACAGAAAAAGATTTTTTTCTACCAATTAATATACAATAAGTTCAAATTTAATTCTTCACCCTTGGGGAGATTAAACATAGAAAAAATCTCTTCTCTTCCAAGTCTCAAATTTCCCCAATTTCACTTAATCTCTCCTAGATTTGTCGCCACTTGAACTCCACCGGAAGAAGTTTCTTCCCTCCGTCAAGAGGACCTTTCTTTTGTTATTCAGTTTGATATTTATTTCACAGGTTCTTTCACGGGCAGTATTTTGAAAGGTTTAATTGCTCACCCAGCAGGTCCGATGCCCACTTTTAAGCTTCTTTTTTTCTCCGCTATCAATCCAGCGCCAACAGCTTATGAGGGGGTGGTGCACCCATCTCTCTCCGTTCACTGAGAATTTCCCTGAATTTCTCCCGGCGGGTGGGGGACCACCCCCCCTGGGCACAAGTATGCTCAGGCTTCTAA